CACCAATTTAGAAGTTTATAGTTGTAGTTTCTAGATTTAGGTTTCATTAAGCTTTGTAGATTTTAGTTTCCTCTTTATGTTTTTTCAATTTGAAAATAAATAAATATTATTCTAAATAGTCGCCTATCCAACTTATTAAATTAAAAATAGATTGCAGATACATAATATATATATATATATATATATATATATATAATTGTGTATAATCAGTGTATAATTTATATATACCGTTAGAAATAATAAGCAGTGAATCTTATCGTCGATTTGTGTAAACATCCCAAAATATGAGAAACATTTTTAGCCTTTTTTTATCTTGGTTTCTTGTGCCCTACATTCTTGTTAAATCATTATCTCACCAATTTTATCAGGTAAACATTATAAGGATTGGGCAACAGCTGGAGTACTTTGCAGAATACCAAAAAAGAGTGGCAGCCTTAGTAGGGACTGAAAAGGCAAAGCAACTAGTGAAGGAGGCTCTAGTTTTAATTACACTTGGGGGCAATGATTTTGTCAACAACTATTATTTGGTCCCTTTTTCTTTGAGATCTACCCAATACGCCCTTCCAGATTATGTCACTTTTGTCATTTCTGAGTACAAACATGTTCTTGCGGTAACAATACTTTATCCTCTTAAAACTATACTCCTATTAATTATTGCTGCATAATGTCAAGTATCAACATGCATCTTGTAGGTAAAAAATAAGTCATTTTTTGTCACATTGGGTCAATAAAATAAAAAAGATATATAACATCATTTAAGTTAATTTTGACACGCATAATATTGCATCTAATTGTGACAAGCTTTGCTAGTCTAGCGATACGCATGGTCCGTCACTCTATCCAGTTCTTTTAGTGTTCCGTTAAGAAAGAATTAATTTATTCGATACGAGAAGACTTTAAACCAAAAAATTTGACATATGCAAAAAAGGAAAATAGGAGGATGTTAGTAAATTTAGAGTTATAATTGAACCCTACAAAAATTTAGAACAAATTTGTATTTTTGTATATACTTTTATGAAAAGGCAACATTTGAGCAAGAGGGAATGGAAAATGGAATAGAGAGGTCATAATCTATGGCATTTAGAGTATGTGGGCAAAAGAAAATAAAAAGGTAATAGGATTCAGTAGTTGAACTAGTGCAGACCTACTTAAGATGGAAAATAAATCTTGCATGTGATTATTGAAATGCAATAGCTAGCTCATACTAGTACCTTTTGTCAACTGATTAAACTTAAGGAAACATTATTGTACAATTCTTAGCTGTGCCCTTATATATCAAGTCATTTTATGTAGCACATCATAAAGACAATGTCATTTCACTCCCCCCACCCCCACCCCACCCTACACTCATTTGATTGACACACAACATGAATTTCTTATATTTTATCATTAATCTTTTAAGTTATATATACTGACGATTCTAATTTTATCATGCAGAAACTTTACAGCTTAGGAGCTCGTAGAGTTATCGTGACGGGGACAGGGCCACTAGGCTGTGTGCCGGCAGAATTAGCCCAACGGAGCCAGGACGGCAACTGTGCTGCTGAATTGCAGGAAGCAGCATCATTGTTCAATCCGCAGCTAGTTGAGATGCTTAATGGCCTCAACAGTGAGATAGGGAGCCATGTTTTCATTGCAGCAAACACAAATCAAATGCACTTGGACTTTGTTACTAATCCTCAAGCTTTTGGTACATTAAAATTAATTTAAGCCCTTTTTAATTGATTACCTACTTACTTTTGTCATGTTTAGCATAACTAGTTTAGTGCTAAGTTGGACTTTTCCTAGGCTTTAATTAATGTCCCACATTTTTGGTCCTCTCTAACATCTAGTACTGTTATTATGGGGACAGGGTAAAGGCAATACTATAGTTCTTAATTATAGGGGGAGGTGATATAATTTTCCTGAGGAACTTCGTCCAATATGAAAGATTAGAGGGTTTAATTTTTATACACCGACCGACAGACAGACTATAAAATACACTAATTGTGTAAGAATATTAGTTAATTACACACCTATACTTTACTAACATTGAATATGAATGGTATGGGGCAGGATTTGTGACATCAAAGGTGGCATGCTGTGGACAAGGACCATATAATGGGATAGGGCTGTGCACACCATTGTCAAATCTGTGCCCAAACAGAGATGAATATGCATTTTGGGATCCATTTCATCCCTCAGAAAAGGCTAACAGAATCATTGTTCAACAGATCTTGACTGGGACTACTGCCTACATGCACCCCATGAACCTTAGCACAATCATGGTTATGGATTCCAAGGCTTAATAAATTCTAAAATTCCCATATTTCTCCACTCTCTTTTTTGTTTGGATTTTCAATGGAAATGTTATTTGTTTAATTGTAGCAGTTAATGTACGTGTCTTCCAAGTGGAGCAAGAATCGTTTTAGTTGAATTCCTTCTTTTAAACAATAAGATGGAAGCTGTGTCAAATGTAAGTGCTTTTGAGTTGATCAAATCTGATAGCTTGTATTTCTGCATCTTTTCTGTTAGCTATAGTATGTCTTTCTTTTTGTTTTCTTGAATTTATGATGGAAGAGTCAACAACTTTTGCACTATTGGAAAATTTACAGAAGTTTAGATGTAATGGTTAGTAGAAGTATGCCATTAGTCCCAGATTCTAAAAGTACTTGCGAGAAAACTTTAGCAAAAATATTTGAATAGTAGAGACTCATCTTACGGCTTAAATCATGTAAAAGAGCATATACAGAGAGAGAAAAAGATTGGGAAAATGTATAAGTACATGAACTAAGGCCGAAGTTTCAACTACATACCTTGTTTTTGCGGAAGTTCTATCACCCCTGAACTAATTAACAATAGAAGTATTAACCCCTATGTTGAGCTGGCATAAAGAGTATGTTCCACTCTCTTTGAGAGAGTGAGAAGCAAAAAAGTGAAAAAAGATTATTTTTGTAATTTTCGGTTACAATTAAAAAAATCATTTTCTTCGTTTTTCTTTTTTTCTTTTCCGGCATAGACCATGAACGCCGATGACCTTCTCCGGCAAACTACTTTTCCTTTCTTTTATTTTTTCTCTAATCTTCTTCCTCTCACTCTCACCACCACCTCAACACTATAACCTCCACATTCACTTTCCCCCACCTCCTTTTTATTCTTTACCCATTTAATCTTCACTTCGGCACCACCACCTCAGCATCATCATCATTACCTAAACTTAGATCTTATCTCTCCAGCTTCCCTCTGGAACATAGAAGTCATCAGAAATAAAATCAAAATCAAACTCACAATCGGCAACAATAAACTCCTCCCTCACCGATAAAAATGGGGTTCCTGAAATCCAACATGAAACAAGCAACAGACCCACATACACAGACTCTAATCAAACAAGGACAGGATCTTTATGAACGGCTGGAAAATTTGAATGCGAAGAAAGAATGAAATAGAAAAATAAAATAAAAAAGTGTAATAGAATAAAAAAGAAAAAAAAAAGGAAAGGAAAGAGAAAAAAGTTCAAAAATTACGAAATAGACATGTGGCAGTGTTTCACTGCCTGTCAAAATTTGGTTATCTAATTTCAGGGTGATATTTATTTCGTTTTAAAAAAAGTTCAAGGGGTGATAGGACTCCCACAAAGATAAGGTGTGTAATTGGAACTTTCGCTTTAGTTCAAGGGGTACTTATGCATTTTCCCAAAAAAAAATCCACAGTAGAATTAAGCATCCGGATCTAGTTATCTGTCGATTAACAAAATCTTAAGCTAAATTGCAAACCAGCAAAAATTGATTAACATCTCTTTACAACTCAAAAGCACCATTCATGCCTGAATATTAGAACTGTTGATAGTAACAAAAAATCGTTCTCTTCTATTTTTATTTTTATTTTTACTTTGTTCTATTCCAAACACTCTACTTCATCTGTTCCATTCCAACACTTCTATTTAATCATCTGCATGCTGCTGCGTCTTTCTTTTCTCCTTCCCGGTTCCTTCAGGATCAGCCTCATCAGTTGTTATACCAATTTCCTCCGTCTAGGCAGACCTTTTTTTTCTTCTTTTGCTTTAATTCTTTGTACAATTAGCCCATAACAGCCGTCCTTCTTATGATCTCTGGTCTCCATTCATGGGCACTGGCTGTTAACCAAATTGGAAAAATACACAAGCTTGCTTCTCACAACCTCTAAAAAACAGTTTTTTCTTCAGATTCAAAGGGAAAACTTAAAAAGACAGCTGCATTAGATGTCACTAGGGGTGGCAAAGGGGCGGTGCGGGTCAGATATGAGCGGGTCAAAACAGGTAATTTTAAAAAACGGATAAATTACCCGACCCGACCCATATTTGAGACGGATAAAAACGATTTATCGGCGGATAATATAGATATCCATATTATTCATGGCTTATTAAATATGATCACTTATGAGAGAATTCCTAGTCTTCCAAACTTGAACTCCAATTTAAAGATTTACAAATGTAAAAGTTAAACATAATAGTTATCCATTGATTATCTATTTGATTAACCACTTTCAAAGTGAATAATATGGTTCTTTATCCATATTCGACCCGTTTTTAAATGGTTCATTATCCAGCCCATTTTTTGATGGATAATATGGGTGGACAACTGTTTTTTTTTTTACCAGTTTGCCACCTCTAGAAGTCACCTTCTAGTGCTTATAATTAACAAACCAGTGCATTAATACTCACTGGAGCCACCATGCAACTTGACAATTGCCTGAAGGAGAACAGAAGTTGCTCATAGCATACACTAAGCTCTGTTATCGTCACAAGTGACTAATTAAACAGACAGGAGGATGAAGCCCGCAACAAAAACTGTAGTCCCCGAACTGCCTTACAAGAATAGTAACATGGATTCTAGTAATTGTCTACTTTGTTACAGTTCTTAAGGCACTTGAGAGCAATTTTTCATGTAAAGGACCATGATGGCAAAACAAGAGCACCCTATTTAGCTCTTTACCAACAACAATACACGGATAGCACCTGCAGTGCACTATAACTTCAAATCATTTGTGGCTTAAAACATGTAAAATAGCATATAGCAAAAAAATCCACAGTAGAATAAAGCATCCAAAGTAGGATTAAAAGCATCATCAAGCAAGCATCTGTTAACTAACAGAAATCCTAAGTTGCATTACAAAGCACTAATAACTTACTAATGACATAATTGTACAACTTAACCACGCCGCCCAATGCCCAATACCAAAATTGTTGATAATAACAATGTCTGCGCCGAAACAGTTATTCTTCAGTCTTCTTCTTCTTCTTCTTCTTCTTGTCTTTCTTTTTATCCGTGCTTTCTGCTTCATCCTCATCAGCATCAGCATGTTTCCTCTTCTTTTTCTTACTTTTTTCCACTTCTACGCTTTCGACTTCCTCTGCATGCTTCTTCTTTTTCTTCTTCTCCTTCTTCCCAGTGTCTTCGGGTTCTGCAGCATCAGTTGCTACAGCATTATCCTCTGTTTCTGCAGACTTCTTCTTCTTCTTCTTTTTCTTCTCTCCTTCAGTGACGGGAACCTCCCCAGCTGCTTCCTTAATTTGAGATGGCTGTCCATCTATACTCATCTTCTCCTCATTCTCAGTGTGTCCAATAACAGAATCGGCAGCAGGGTTGTAAACCTGCAAAAGGAGAAGTCAATAACTGGAAGTAAAGCAGAAACAATTAACTCAAAAGAGAAGACAGTCCCAAACCTTAGCTGGTGTTATCAGTGCTCCTGCACCCTTTTTGCGATCCTTGTCATAGACTTCAATCTTTGGTTTGCCTTTGGCAGACCCAGCTGACTTGCCCAACTCTTTGCCCTCTAAGGCTCTTAAGCGTGCTTCAAGCTAAAAAAGTTGCATATCAAGATAATCAGATTTAATAAAGAGCCGGAAACAAAAAATATCATCCAAAGACAACAGTTACAAACAGTACCTTGGCCCGATTCTCCAAACCCATGGTATTATCTTGGCTATCAGCAAGAGCATCGTATCGAATTGCCAAAGCAGTTTTTGCTGCTAGAGATCTTGAGATTTTACCCTTGTGTTTTGGTGCTGCCTGTCCAATCAAAGAAGCATGATATATAAGCCCGTATTTCGGAGTTGCATGCTTCGTCTTTAAAGCTCTGAAAAGAGCCTTTTCAGCACCAAGTATCTGAACTGTACTTCCAGGTTGCTTTGCAAGATTCAACAAGCTGCCGCCATGGGCAATAAGCCGAGCACCAACAAGTTCTCCAACTAGAGCCGTAAGATTTGGGGCAATCGTGTTCATCCTGCTCTTCAAATAATCATATAACTGAGCTCTGTACTCGGAGAATGACAGAACTTGGCTGCATAAATCTTTAATATTCTCCAGATCAAGATCACTAACTTCAGTCCCCATGGAAATCATGGATGCCTCTTTCAATTCTGCCTCAACCTCTTCTGGCAGTATCTGTAAACATAGCCATACCGAAAGTGTGAATTTATCTTACGAATTTCGGAATGAAAGCCCCCACTTCACTGGGTTTGTTGTTAATTCCAGAATGAAAGCATGTATCTTGTCGGAAGCGAACATGGACTATTTTGAAGTTCAATATACGAAGATTTATGTCAGCTAGCAAGTCTAGCCAACATAATTGTGAATATTACTCTGAGCATGAAGAGTAACAGATTTTTTAGTTCAAGAAGCATTTAAAAGGATGTCACTCCTTACCTCAGAGAAATCCAGCTTTGCCGCATTTACACGGTCGCCCATCAACTTCACAGCCTTGGCATATAAAATGTTATCTTGTACAATCTTTGCAAGCTCCGGAAAATGCCAACCATACCATTCTCGGACCCTCATGGCATATGTGTTTAGCTCTTTATCAAGGTCATCCAACAAGCTAATGGCTTGTACAATCATCGTATCCACCTAAGCAAAGCAACGAAATGTCATTCATACACTGCTATCTGTTGAACAAAAGGCCAAAGCCATCAAGAATATAAAATTTGGACAAATATCTGCTGGCCAGTCATTTTTATGAGCTATACAAAGCTACAAACAACTTCAGGAGACACAGAAATGTGAAGAAAATGGTAGGCTGTAATACATTTTTTTAAAGTTAGACTATACCACATTGACAGTGAACAATAACATAGCCCACGCACAATATAGTCTTATACACTACAAAGCTCAACAGAACTTGCAAGGGTTCTGTGAATTACAGGAAATTACATAACCTCTACTGGCAAGAGACTGTTAGTTCCCAGGAAACAACATAGCCAAAGAGCTGTGACTCCTCAATTTACATGTGAGCATCATATGGGATACATTTGGAATGAGCATAAATTAGGCTACGTATGCAATGATAATGGTGGACTACATGTTTTACCATCAGAATGTTTTTTGGAGAAAAATATTTCATGAATATGTGAACTTCTTAAACCTTTTGTTACGTGACACCATTCAACTTCAAGAGTCAGAACTTACCAATTCCCAGGGTGAAAACAATTTATGTGAACCAATGAATGGGCCAAATACATATATGGTTTTTCATTTGGACACCTTAACTAAGTTCATGATCATCTGAACACTCAAATCTTTGTTTGCCTGGTGGATTGAACCCCCAACCTCATTGTCGGAGGTGGAGGGTCCTTCCCACTATGCTATCCTTTCCTTTTCTCAAGTGGCAATTGATTATCCCAACAATCATAAGAATATCTATAGTGAAACTATGTAGTACATGAAATAAATAAGTAAACATACAACAAATTACCTTGTCAGGGCTAAACTTTAGCTTGTATCTTGAAAGACTATGAGATAAACCCAAGCTCATTGGAGCCAAGTCTTGAGATCCAAGACCAGTTATGAGCTCAGTCAACTGACTTCTCACCCCTCTCATCAATTCCATGACAGCATTATTGTGAACACAGTCAATTTGCTGCAAACACATCCAGAACAAACTTCAGTCAAAAAAAATAACCGAATCAAACCAAGAAACAATGAGCCGACACCAAAAAAAAGGAGCTGACCAGTTTCTCTTTAATTGCATTTCCAAGTTTTGAATCAGCAACACCCAAAGTTTCACCATCACAGTGAGCTTTCAAAAACTTGCGCAATCCTTTGCTGGGCTTGCTATCTATCAACAAAGTAGCTGCTGACAGAGCTTCTGAGGTGTTCTCAAACTTGGAGAAAGCTTTTAGCTTCACAACCTGTTTTTGGACCAAGCAATCACATAAATGAAGTATGAAACATAAAATCGGAAACCTTAGGCAGTTCATATTCCCAAAATCAACTAAGCACAAAATAAATAAAAAAAACAGGGAGAAAGGGAAAAAACAATGCTTTTGCCGTCTGAAACTGTAGCTTATGTTCACATAACAAAGAGAAAGAATAACCAATCTCTGCTTAGCTTTGTTCAAATTTTAACGTGCTACACCAAGATTCCTCCTTGACACGTTCTACTTTCAAATATTTATATATAAATAAGCAAGCAACCACAATATTCCCAACAAAGCTAATTCTACTCAATGTTTACACAAAACCACTATATACATAAAATGTTTATTTGAAAAAGATTTCTCCTTGACATTTTTTCCTTTCAAATATATACATTCAGCAACCACAATACTTCCTACTAAGCTAACTGCATTCGGTGTATTCACATAATCATTAAATACATAAAATGTTTTCTTTTATCAAAACACTCAAGATTTTCTATGTTACAGCTACATAAGCACAAAAATTACAGTAAAGAAAAACTTATTACTCATCAAATAGTTTAGAGAGAAAAAAGATATTACCTTTCGGGCAGAATCAGTTGAGGAGAACTCTTTCCACAAATCCTGCAACACAAAAATAGAAGGATTCAATAAAACAAGAAAACCCAAAAAGAAAGAAAAAAATATCAAAGGCGAAGAGAAGAATGCTTCTTATACCTCAACTTTGGAGAGCTTTCCCTCATCCAAAACTTTGAAAAGGGCAAAACCTGCCGGTGTTTCAAACAATACCAACATTTTCTTCGCCCAAAATTAACCAATTGTTGTTCCTATGTGTTTACCTCTGTTTTGGGAGAGAAAACGGAAGAAGCTGTAAAGAAAGGGTTCGGGCTCCTCACTTCTTTTTATATATGCTCTGCTGCTGAATGGACTAGGGTTTTAGTGAAGGTGGCTATGGGTTTTTGGGGAAAATGTCATTTGCTGTATTGGCCCCTCTATTATGACTTATTTACACTATTATCCTTGGATATTTAACTTCTGATTTATCGGAGTCCCTACCTAGTCTAATCTTCGAGGGAAATAGCAAACAAAATCTATCAATTTCATAAACCTACCGGTGTACGACCGGGTCAATTGGTTTCTTCGCTTATTACGAACTTGTTTTTAGTATTACGAGTCTATCTCTTTTTTTTTATACAAAAGAGATTTTTATCTTTTACACATAAGAACATAAGAGATCTAAAAATATTATTTTTTTAAATTTAAAATTATAAAAGAATATTATGTACAAATAGCACGAGTCGTGTACAAACTTAATATTTTTATTAAATCATTAAATATAGGTCGTTTATGTACTTTTTCATTATTTATGACCAATTACTATATATTCTCCTTTCGATTTATTATTTCACTATAGTAAATTCATGTAATATATTGTATACACCATAACATAGACCTAAAATACAAACATGTTCAGGTAGAAAATAACACATTCATCTCATAAATTGTTTGACAAAACTATTTAGAGTCTATTTTACTCATAAATTTTCCGTACTTAGCATGCTTATTAGGTTAGGATTTTCGCACGTGGTAGTAGGGGCGGATCTATATAGAAAAGAGGGGGTGGTATGTCATCCGATCACTTCGATAGAATTTCATATATGTATTGGTATTTCAATAATACTTCACGTAAAAAAGTGCATGTAAATTAAAAAAAAGCGCCCGTATAACAAAATTATGATAGATGTCATGATCAAGGTGTCTCGTGCTAAGCCTAAAACCTAGGATTGATTCTCATTTCATTCTTTTTTAAGCAAAGCCAGTTTTATTTTTTCTTGTTTGTTCTTTCATTTTTCTTTTCTTCTCTTTTTTCTTAATTTCTTATTTTTATCTTTGTATTTTCTCTCTATATAGTTTCTTTTTCTTTTTAGATATTTAGATTTAAAAAGTATATTTGCTTTTGTTTTTCTTTTCTAAATCTTGAATTTTGAAATTTCAATATGCTTTTAATTATTTTCTTTTGATCTAGTTAATGTTAAATTTTTCTTGAAAGGACAAACATTTTTAGTTCTATTATCATTTACCACGTATGTATTTATGCACCAAAAATTCTTGTAAAATGAATCTAATAAATAAAAATATGGATTGAATCGAATTAATTTAAAACTAGTGAACCGGCCAAATGTGCACCCTAATTCAACCTCCTTGACTATTGGTAAATTTATATTAAATACAGTGACATCCATAACTATCAAATTCTGGATCTGCCTCTACGTGGTAAGGTGAATATTCCAGCCAAAATCATTCTCCCAATGTGAATAAAGTTTCGTAACTTTTATTCTTTTGATGTGTACAAAGTTAAACGATTTTTAAGTGACAAACTCTAGTTTAGTGAATTTATTATAAAAATGCTATAAGTTGGATAAATATTAAAGTAATTGACTCTTTTCTTACACTTCAAAAAATTTCGTTTCTATAGTTTCTTGTGAATGCAGTGTGAGTTGAATTAAGGGATCAAACCTTAAAGTAGTAAGATTTTTTTTATATAGAAATAAACTTGGGCACCCTTTTTAATTTAATATTGTATTAAGTGTGCAATATATTTTGCAAGTAATGTAGATTGTATGAAGTGCCCTAAATTCGAGACAAGTTGAAAATTTCGCAATAGACACACAAGGCACAACTTCAAATACTATAACTCCAAGTATGTAGTACTATTAAGTTTGAGTCTATTTTTTAGAGGGCCAAATTAATGATGCACTGTGGGCCGGGGCCAGGCCTAAATGGGCTTAATGGGTCGGGCTTAATGGGCCTGGGCTTCGTGGGCTCAACGGGTGAGATCATCCCATGACGGGCCTAAGCCCATATGATCCTGGGCTTAGCGGGCCATGCACGTGGGCCTAGCGGGCCGGGCCCGCGGGCTTAGCAGGCCTAGCGGGCTTTTTTTTTTTCTTTTTTGTTTAAGGCAATATCTTGTAAACCATATCATGGCTATATAAAATAGTAGAAATCTAA